CGGACTAGATCAATATCCCAGAAGTTAAATTGACTCGATGCTATGCTCTGATTAAAAAGTGTTCCTTTAATTTTTTTGAGCAGTGTATTTCAAATGATTGGTTCATTCATTGATTATTTATTCATACCTGCTTGTCCTATTCAGGGTCGCGGGGGGTCCTGAGCCTATTACAGAAACAATGGCCGCAAGGCGGGGAACAACCCAGGATGGGGCATCAACTCATCCCAAATCAGACACACCATTCACACACACAGTCACACCTACGGACAATTCAGCAGCTCCTGGCTGTTCACCGTGTTTTTGGACTGTGGGGGGAGAGCTCTGGAAGCCGGAGGAAAGCTCACGACTGGCCGGGGACAACATGCAAACTCCACAAACGCAGAGCCGGGCCAGAAATTTGAAACCAGTCTCCTGAGACGTGAAGCGACCGTTCCGTCCCCCCAAATGACTGGTTCTTTCCTCGAAATTACGCTATTTTATTATGTTTTCCCTGTTTGTTTATTTCGTAGATTATTAAATACATTTTCCCTATAGATGTTCAACTCCATTCCGGCTATGAAAATTTAATTATTATGTTTATTTTAAATATTATTTTATTAATATATATTTTTTACAAAATTCTCTTTTAATTAACTGTATTATCTGGTTTAAAAAATCCTACAATTTGGTAGGCTATGCTCATTTAAATACGTCAAATACTTTCTTCTACACCAGTATTGCAATTTGAATAAAAATTCTCATCAGTCTGTCGTTTATTAAATAATGCTTTTTGTGTTAAATTTACTTCCTTCAGCACTGCACATTAGTCAAAAGTAAAACTTACCTTAATGCTGGCCCTTTTGTTTATGGGTGAGAAGAAATGATATTGATCTTCAGTGATTAAGCATTTTCAAAAATTTAGTTCCAGTTCCGTAATTTTCCATAAACGATGACTGACACGGAGATGAAACTGGAGAATAATACTAGTAAATAATTATGCACATCCGTCTGAGAAGGTGCGTCCCACGTGAACTTGAGTTTAACTTTGGCACCGTCATGCTGCGTGCACGGATAAGTAGCTGTCCAGGTCTCTGCCTGCTCTGCTCTGTCCTTCCAAGCATGTGATCACTTAATCAAAATAATAATCCATGAGTAGCTTAGGATAATGCGTGGCAGGGGTTGGATTGGTTCTTAAGTAAGAAGATAACTCTTCTGTTAAAGGACAAAACTATTCTGTAGGTTGCGTTGACATGTTTACTCTCAATTTTGGTTCACGTGATGTGGTGATAATCCGATCAATGAAATATTAAAGTATCTCTAAGCGTCAAATTAAAGTAGCACCCTTCCAAGTCACAAAATACAGAATATCATTGCGCTAGATGCTGTAAAACTGCCTTTAATGTCAGACTTCTCCCTTCAGTTGACACGTAGCCTACAACCACTTGACACATACTCGTACGACCCACTTATCCTCGGTCGCGGGGGTGGGATTGGGGGGCACTGCAGCATAGGGCACCGGGCTGGTGTTTGCCCTGCATTGGACTGGATAGGAGGCCGATCCATTGCAGAGCAAATACGATCATGTGATCATATACAAGACCTTTAATACACGACCCTCACCGAGCATAGACAGGATTATAACCCCAAACCTTGGAGTTAAGAATGACACTTACTGCTCCACCATGCATGCAGTCTACGCCTGTTTTAATACAATGACACAACATCATGCCATCCTGGCATACACGAATATTTTTTTTCATTATTATTTTGTATACATATCATTCAAATTTTAGATTATTCTTTTTGATGTTTTTTTTTAATTATTTTATTTCTCTTCCTTTCCTTGGAAACACAAGGCAAGTGACACCTTATTTTTTCTCATTATGAAGCGATTTCTAATTGCTGCAGTTTTGTATCGACCACAAGATGGTGCTATACATTAAATATTTTAAATGACTTAATAATAGATCAAAGAAAGCTAAATTGAGCAAGGATGAAGCACCTGAACATATAAAATTATTAATATTTTTAAAATACAGGTAGTAAGACACTGGGATACTTAATTACTAATATTTACCAAATATATCAGTGTAAATGAAGAAGACATTTTTCTACAAAGTAGTTTTGCTTTTAAATTCTCTAAATTTGTTACTGATTGCTTGATAAGTGTAACAAATCTAACAATAAGCCTAATAAACTTATATATACAAAATTTACCTATGCAGGGTTAACTTTATTTACATCCATGGGGTGATAATACTCCAAAATATAATGACTTTGTCACCTGTAAATACTCACTTGAGTTAATAGATTATAATTTAAAACAAATAGTAGATTCAAATAATGTAATGTTCAGCTGCATGACAATGTGTAAAACATTTAAACCTTGGACAAAATGCCTAGTCCCTTGTCACTCCAGCAACAACAACACACTCCCTTTTCCTAAACACTAGAGCAATATCATCATTATAAATAATATATTCTCTTGAATTTATAACTTTGATGCATCACATGTCCCGTGTAATGGTACCACTGTACTATTCAATATATGTGTGTAAATGCGGATCATTTGCTAAATGCACATGGACTAAATAGTTATGCAAAATATCTCTATAGCTAGATATATAGATTTTATACGTGTAAAGTTTGGCCAACCTGTCATTCAGAGGCAAGGGAACAAACATTTTTTGTGGGGTGACATGAAAACTGTGCCAAGGGGCCACAGAGATGTAAGCCCAAAATAGACACCAAAGACAGTGACGGGAGAAATTAGTTGCACTGGGGCATGTACTGGAGTTGCAGGAACAGGGAATCCACAGAGATTTAAGGCAGGTTTCATAAAAGAACAAAGAGTACAGCAGGATTAAATGAATCATTCTTTAAACGAATGAGTATGAGGCTTGGCAATGGCCATTCCAATAATAACTGGAAACAAATAAAGGTCTTGGTGGCAATGACAGATCTTCCATGTAGAAGCAAATGTGGTGCCAATACGAGGATATAAAACAAGGATCATATTTCAGGTAGATAAAGGAGAAAAGCTTCCCCCGACTCTCTTCTTTGGCAGTAAAGTTACAGTTTCTATTTGAGGCCACAGCTGTTTTGCGTGGTTGAGTATACTCTGGAAGGTGGCAGTAATGAATCAGGCTAAGTAAAATGGACAGTAGGGGATTTAGAAGAATCCAGAAGTCTGCTTTCTATTTCGCTGTGTCAGAAATAGTGGTCAATGTCTAACGTTCATTTGCTGAATCACCAGCAGATTGTATCCTTTCCCCATACTTGCTCTTGCAGGGTGGTGCAACATATTTTTCATCAGACATGCTGAAAAGAAGTCTGTTTATGTGCTTTTCCGTAGGGTAGCTGGACATCATTTCAGAATGTTTTATGAATGGCATTTTTTAGGTGGCACAATGGATCAGTGGGTGGTACAGTTGCCTTACTCCTCCGGGGCTGGGGGTTTGAATTCACACCCTACATCGTGTGCAGCTTGCCCAATTTCTCCCCTTACCCCACGGATTTCCTCCTGCAGTCCAACAATATACGTTTAGACTAACTGGCATCTTTAAGTTGCCTGTAGGGGGAGCGTGTGCGCTGTGATGGACAGGCATTGCATCCACAGTGTACGCTTGCAGAATAGAATTACAACTTTTTTACATTTTGGAATACCAACACTTCTTTTCAAGCCTAAATGTTTCTCATAGAACAGCAAGATAGGATATACGAAGACTGAAATTTAGTACTTGTCCTCAATACAACAACAATAAAGGTATTCTGGGGGGAAAAAAACATGTTCAGGAGATTTAACCCATTTATCGTATACAGGGATTGGTAATTGGTAATATTGCATTAAATGTATCTTGTTTTAAGGAAGCAGTGAAATAGGTTAATTTTTCAAGCTGCTTGTAATGAGGTATATGCTCTCTACAATCAGCGTCAAAGGTAGAGCCACGCATGCGCAAAATGACCACAACGCATTGATAGAAAGTCTTGCCCAAAGGATAAATTATAGCACACATTTTATTTTGAAAACTTATATAAAAAAGTTTTTGTTATTTCTGGCCTGGACAACAGTAAGATATATATTTCGACTAAACCGTACTTCTGCCTTGATTGTTCCTCTACTCATCTCTGGCTGATTTTATGTAATATTTCTGGAAAAACTGTGGCCTACTTATATCTGAGACTAATAGATGTTGCCATATAATGCAAAGTTAATAATTTAAACAGTCAACCAAATCAACAATGCACAAGTTTTCATTGTAACCCTCAGTAGAAGTGGTGGGAAAACGAAATAAGCTTCCTTTGAAAAATCTTGACTATAATATCTGAGATTATATGCATAATACATACATACATATAAAAGTATTTCATGTATTGACAGGTATCTGTTGGTTGCTAAAAACTGTCGTGTCGTTTCCGAGTTAGAAAAAAAACTTCCACTATGATCAAGCAAAACGATACACTCCACTCCGACGCCAAGCAAGCAAAACGCTTGCTGGGACAAACACGTCAATAAAGCTACAGGGCTTGACTGTACCATTGTTACCCTCAGGGGTGTCATTTTACCAAACCGTTTCAAAATGTACTTTAAAAAAATCACCCGACTATATAACATCTTAATAATATACATGAAAAAGAAAGGTTTATTTTATTTGCTGTTGATTTGCAGGTTAAGCTTAGTTTTCTTACTTGTATAAAGTTTGATTGGTCAGTTTGGGTCCTGCGGATGAGTCGTATCGCCCGGTTGGAGCTTCCCTCTCTGCTTACGGGCTAGACGGAAAACCTGCAATAAGTACTGATACCTGATGGGAGGTCGACGTTGAATGTCCGAGTTTGGACATTAACGATTTGATGACATTCACTTCGCGTTGGGAACTATGTGAAAACAGGAGGAGTCGTCCAGTCATGACTGTTTAGAAATCAATGGCAAGCAACTTTAAACTGGTCTTATAAAGCGTACTATGGCTGCTCGACCAAGGTAAGTACTGTAGTCGGCTAGCCGATAGCTAGCGCGGAGCTAAGTGGTAATTTGTAATGGTGAAGTGTCCTTTTAACAGGCGACGTTAAGTATGTTACCGTTGTATATGTTTTACAGCAAAGCGACATTAGTCAGTGTTAGCCGTGGCTGTCGAAAAGGTTTAATGGTACTAGTTGGGTAGAGTTTACTGGAAACTAGCTGGTTAAACTCCGAACAGCTGTTTGGCCAAGGGATGTACTTCGGTGAATAGTCTTCCAGTTCACTACCTACATAAAAACTCTATAAATGAATAAGGAGACGTCAATTTTGAGCATTTCTAATGAAAACAATGGATATTATTATTAATCATGAAATGCTATGTGTTTTATATTAATATGACGTCATTCGTTGCATTTTTGGTTAACACCTGACTAAATTGTTATGAATTGTAGATGAAAACTTGTGATGGAATTGTTATACAAATGAGTTTGGGATTTTTTTGAGCCAAACATGAATATAAAATTATGCTAGGTTAACAAACACCTCGTTCATAGTTACCCTGTAGTCATAGTTAAGTTTTTTTTAGTGCCAGGCCTTCCTGAATTGGAGAAAATATGTATTATTAACTTGCATAAGCATTTACATGTCTTTTTTATTTGATATTCCACACATTTTATAAAGCCTTTCGGTTTGTTGGTATATTATTTTGAATTACATAGAATTATCTGATCTGTTGATTGTCTGTGTTGTAAAATAATATGCATTTTAGGTACATTGTAGTAATATGATTTAAAATATGATTTGAAGTGATTTTTTTCACACATGACACACAAGTTGTAGCATTGACAGAATACTTAAGTAATATTAAACTCCACCAGATATACTTGAATGATTAAATGGGTAAGTATAGGATTACAATACCTTAAGTCTTTGCTTTCACTTTTTGAAGTTATGCACTTAAATATATGTGATGGACAAAATGTACAACAAAAGCACATTGATATACAAATCAATATACTATTTAAAATTTACATGGTTGCATGCAATGACAAGACCAAAGATCATAAAGTATGATTACACAGTATGATTCAAGAACGTTTACTAATTGCCTTAGGGGAAAGAGGAAATTAAACAGGATCTGTTTTGACCAGATAATAATCACTGATCATTTGATAATAATCAAATGTTCATTACACATTTTTTGTAGTAATTCCTTTAGTTGAGAACTGGCACCTTGCAGGGGTTAATACTCTCACATTACTAGGAAACAATTCTGTTTCATGTTATTAGACACCTGATATTCATTAACTTTGTAGCCGTTTTGTCTCCCTGATTGTTTTTGTTGTGTTATCTTTTGAACAGATTTATCTGTGATGATATTTACTTTAGAGCTTGAATTTACCATTAATTCTTAATCTTGTGAAATGTTACATTTGTCTAGATGTTGGTGAGTTTTTCACCGAGTATTGTCTGAAACTATACATTTAGTTAGTATGAAAATGCTGTGTTTTTGTACTACCTGTAAATGTGTACTTGGGATGCATGGAATTAATTTTAGTTTTAGACACTTTGAATTTGCATTTACCTTTTAATCTCTAAAAAATTTCTTTAAACTCAGTTATGCATGCAATACATGAAGGAATTACATCCATCAATTACCCACAGTGTTCTTACAGTATGGGGTCACGGTGACCCCGAGTTTGTCCCATGAAGCAAATGGTATAAAACAGGAAGCACCGTGGAAGGGATGCCAGTCTGTTGGGCCCATAATCAAGCTCTATGGGCAGTTCTGACACATCAGTTCCCCCAACCGCATATTAACCAATAGGGCTTTTGTGGATACAGTTGTGTAGTGTCAACATGGGGAAATATTATATTTATTTATAAAAGCTGCTGTATTGGAACATGTATACATATAGTAGTCTAAAGTTGCAGCATCCTTAATACTTGGACAGTCGTTCAGGATAGATCTTCTGACCAAAGAAGGGGAAAAAAGTAACCATAGTGGTGGCATAAATATGAGAATGATACCTGTGAGGTCAGCAGACTTTTGAAACTGATGCATTTGAAGAATTTCAGATGGTGTCTGATTTGCTTTTCCCCCTCTTTGCATGGAACTTTCATGATTGCAGTGATTGCATTTGATGGGAATGTGGGGATGGTATTTATGGGTCTTGGTTAACAAACATTGCAGCTGTAAATTAAAGCCAGTGCAGTGTGGCGTATGTTTTTATGTAGTAAATAACTATATTCATTTGACTGACCTTCTGCCCTGGTATCAAAAGAATTGCACCTTGGTGATTATATCAATCAAAACAGTTATTCCATGTGTTTGGAAAGAATCCGAATTTGTCTATGACTTTCACATAGCCAGAAAAGGTTCATTTATTCATATCATAAATTCTGTTATATATTTTAAGTGCTTTGCATGCTAGTATCACAGAAGTTGAAAAGTATAACTTTTTTTTTTTTTAAATTCTTAAATTAATTGTGACTATAGGAGTGTTTCTTGCTTTGGATATACTGCCATACTCAGTAGTAGAGAACATGGGATGTAGACAGGATTTTGTTCATTATGATAATGTTATATTTTTTATTTTTTTTAATTTACATTAATTTTAGCAAATAAGTGTCACTTAGGTTTTGTTATTCAGACACATTGACAGCCACTTTGCCTTTGGTTTACAACTCTTCTTACTTGTTTGTTTGCAGTTTTAATGATAAACAATTTGAAAATAAATTCTGTTTTGCCCGCTGTACTGAAACTGCACCGAACCATGAACCCATAACCCATAACCCAGGTTTATACCAAACCATGAATTTTGTGTACTGTTACACCCCTATTTTCTGTGTAACTCAGGACATTGATTGTTGTTTTGTTTTTATTGTGAAATCTTCAAAGCATGCTATTTTGTAAGTTTTTAATGATCTCTAAATTGAATATAATGCTTGAGAAAAGTTTGGGGAGAGCTTGAAGGATCAGCTGAATAACAGCCATTCTTTAGACTACGACTTACTGGCTCAGTGTGCAGGGCCTGCACAATAATACAGATGCTCCTTGATTTATGATGGTTCAACTTAAGATATTTCGACTTGGTGCTAACGATGCACATTCAATAGTGATAAAGCTTTGAATTATCTGTCCCTGGTTTAGCAATATGCTGTACGGTACTTTCTACTGATGCGTCCAGTCTCTGTAGTTATCCTGAGCATAAACATCTTATGCAGTGTTTAACAACAGCTTGTATGTTGTTTTTTTTTCCTGTGTTAAAGCAAATATTTACTTATTCGGTGACTGTAATTACTTATCATATCCTATTTGACATACAATATTTTCAGCATATGATGGGTGCATACAGGGGATCATCTGTGTATTTTTTTCCATTTAAAGTAATGCTCTGATATGTGCATGTATACCAAAGTAGTTTGTATATGAATCACCTTTTTGTAATATTTTATCATGAGACAGTATGAGGAAGTAGGAATTTCAGTTTAAATTTGTTTCTGCAAAGATATAATATTTCGGTTGTAGTCCCATAGATAGCCATTCTCTTCATAGTTCCAAATATAAACGGGAGAAAAATAAACCACAAGTACCCAGCAGAGTGTACTTTCACAGTTATTATTCCAGTTTCTTTAAGATCTACAGTCCTCACATTTCTGTGTTGTATGAAGGCTCCCATCCACTAAAGACCAGACGTTTTGGGTCTGAATCTTTCAAAAGATCATCAATTCAATTTGCCATTTAAATAAGAATAGAATAGAAAAAATGTTATTTGACAATGGGAAAACATTGTTTGCAAAAAAAAAAAAAGTGGTATGACTTTCTGATGAAGTGCAAATATGTACTGAAGTATAATACTGAAATTTACTGTAGTGACTTAAGCAGGGTTATTGTGCCTGTTCCGGAGTTTTGAGAGAAAATCAATGTGAAGGAGTGAACCTTGTACCCGGTCTCTCCTAGTCAGATGATATACCGAATAAATGTGTATTGCTGAATTAATTTACTGCTGTTCAGCATTTGTTTTATTGTGCTTGTCATTTTGGATTAATATTTTATATGAGGGGGAGCAGTAAAAACTGAAAAATATGTAGTGATATTTCTGCACTATGATCTTTCATTTTGAGCAGTAGTATGTGAAAAACAACACTGGTGATAAACTTGCTGACCGTTGACTTCTGTTAGATACCAGCTTCTTATTTCCCCTCCTCTTGTTACTTAATAATTGGGTCCAATTTGGATTGTAAGATCATCAAGGCAACTGTAACTTTGAGCAACATGCTAATCCCTGTTGATGGTTTAACTACCGAACAGTGGAGCAGCATGCTTTAGTGACGCATTGCTTCCAGCTGTCCCATGGGCAGGCCTGATTCAGCATTTTGTGTCTCCCCTCCCCCCCCATTTTTTTTCCAAACAAAAACACCAAACTCTGTTTAACAGTGAGAATTTCATACCAACTACCCCACCAGGGGCTGTTGGAAGCAGGCTTTCTTATGATAGTTTTGTGATTGGGATCCAGTTGGTTTTCTATCTATAAAGGAATAATGAATTATCCTCTCTACCAGAGAATTCAGAATTGCAGGCTGCCCATTCTTAATCTGTAACTGAAATGCTTGTTCATCCAACAAGACAATTATCAGAAACACACCAACACAATACATTACTGTTTCAAGAACGAGAACTTTCAGCATTGAAATCCAGAATAAAATCCCATTGTGTCATGCTTCTACGTTAGTTTGTAGTTCTACACTAGATTTAAGAATGAAGTATTTCTCAGTTTTTCTAATATAGCATTAAATCTGAATGGAAGCACATACCTAGAAGATCATTCACTTATGTATCCATGCTATGTGGTAACTACATGTGTCCCTGGGGACTGAGAAGCTGTATTGTTTTTTTTCTCACAAATGTATAAATAGACTGGGCTTCTCGACAGGCAGTTCAGGTCACTTTGAAGACCTATGAAGTTACATTCATAATCAGCGTTACAGGTTTGACTGGCAGTCAAATTGCAGATGTT